GCATCATGGAGCGCGTCCACCGCCTCACGTCCATGTCGCGCTACTACGTCGTGCTTCCTGGCTCGCTCGGCTCGCTGCAGGAGACCGTGTGCATCTGGACGATCAGCATGCTGCAGCGCGACGGCCTGCCGCGGCCCGTCATTCTCGTCTTCCGCGACCCGTGGGAGCGCTGCCTGCGCGACGTCGCCGCCGCGCTGCGGGTGGCCGACAGCACCATGCAGCTACTGCGCTTCGTCGACTCGGCGGAAGAGGCGATGCAGATCATCCTTGAGGACGAGAAGAAAATGCAATCGTCCCTGTAGGCGCTCGGGTGACGAGAGGCGAAAAAGAAAGACGCACAACATCAAGCCCGTGCACCATGAATCGGCGGGCAACCACAAGGAGAGAATGCAAAGACGCAACATGGCTCCCTGCGGGTCTGGCGGGGAATACGGGGGAGGGGATGCTAGCAAAACCAAAAAAAAAGCCAAAAGAAGCAAATTAAAACAAAATGGTGGGTGACTACATGTCTTCATTATTCAACTTGAGTACGCTGGGAACTTCTGATGCGTTTGCGTCGTTTTTGGTGCTTGTGTGTGGTGCTGCTGCAGTGCTGCCTCCTCCCTGTGGTGGTGCGGGGCTGCCGCCGTGTGCCTACTCGCATCTTTGCTCCTTCGCCTGCTAGAGTGAGACAGGAAAGACCGCGATGAACATCGTGAGCGAGATCCGACGCCAGTACGGCGTGGAGCTTCCCATCGTGCACGCCACCCTCGACGAGGCGAGGCGCGAGGCGCAGCGGAACGCAACGTACCTGCTGCTGTACCTTCACTGCCCCACACACGAGAACACGCAGACATTCCTGACCGACGTCCTCGCGAACCCGCAGCTACGGGAGGTGCTGAAAACGCGCTTCGTAATGTTCGCTGCCTCAGTGGAAGAGGCAGCGGGGCACCGGCTGGCGAACGAGATGAGCGCGACAACGTTCCCGTTTCTCGCGGTCTTTCTGAAGCGCCAGCCGCTCCTCAAGGTGAAGGGTCTCCTTGGCGCAGAGGAGCTGCTGCTGCGGCTCCGTACCACCTTCGACTACTGGGATGGCATGCTCGCGGAGGAGGTGCACCTGCGGCACGAGCGGGAGGAGAAGGAGCGGGTGCGCCGCGAAGAGGAGCAGCGTGCGCTGCAGATGGAGGCGATTGACCGCGAGCGCATTCGCCAATACGAAGAGAGGGAGCAAGCGCGCCGTGCAAGGGTAGAGCAGCAGCTGCGTGAGCGCGAGGCGTTAGCGCTACGCCAACGCGAAGAGGAAGAGGCTGCGAGACGGCAGAAGCAGGAGGAGGCGCTGCGCCGCACTCGGCTGGGAGAGATGCGTGCAGCGGCGTTGGCGCGGTTACCGGCGGAACCGCCTGCCGATGCGGAGGCATCCACCGTTGCGTACGTCAGCCTCAAGTCGCTGCGTGGGACACAGCACGAGCGGCGTTTCTACCGCCGTGATCGGCTGTGTTGCTTGCGGGACTACGCCGTGACGCTGCACGATTACGATGGCAGCGACTTCCGGCTGGTCGCCGGCTACCCGCCACGCGTTCTGGACGTTGACACCGACGCCACTGTTGGCGACGTGCCTGCGCTGATTCCCCGTGCTGTTGTGCTGATGCGTGCTGCGTAGAGCAGTTCACTGTGTTTTTCTCTGATATCTGATTCCTCCTCTATTGTCACCTCTCCCTCACCCTGTGTGTGTGTGTGCGTGTGCGTGTGTGCAGTAGCAGATGCCGATGTTCTGCTTCAATCACGCGAGATCGCAACACCAAACAAAAAAATCTTTTTTTTTTGTTTGTATCGGGGCTGGGGTGATGAGTGCGGGGGAATAAGGGTGGGGAGTTGACGCCTGCAGTATTACCGGAGGAAAATCATGTGTCTGTCTCTTTTTCCTATTGCCTTGTTTGGTGTCTGCGCGCTGCTTGCTCCTGTGGCCGCAGCGGGTGATTAGGATGGTGCGCTTCCAACCGTGGTGTATGGCACTGCAGACGCGCTTCAAGTGGCGCCACAAAGAGACAGACCGCTGGCGTCGTCTTATGGACGCGACGTGCGTCCCCTTCGATTGGTTCGGCCAGACGCGCGGCCCGACATTCACGCAGTTCGGTGGTCACTGGACGCACCTGCTCACCTGCGCCCATGTTGTGTGCCCGTGGGACTACCCCAACTACTACCCGCCGGAGGGGCCGGCACGCTTTGTCTCGCGCATCACGCTCGCCGACACCATGACGCAGGTGCGCCTCGTATCGCTGCAGGGCACTGCGGTTTACAAGCACTTCACGTCGAACCAGCACGTGTACGTGCACACCAACCCGCGGCTAGATCTCTGCGTGCTGCACGCTGAGCAGAACTTGAGGCGCAGCGGGGAGATGAAGATGCTATGGATGCAGAACGAAGGCTACGTCATACGCCCGCGGCTGGAAGTGGTGGAGCCGCTCGCGGTAGGCGACCACGTGTGGATCTACGGCATGACTGCGCACGAGTCGCTCTTTGACGAGGAGAAGGGGCCAGAGCCGCTCATGATACCAACAGGCATCCGTGCTAAGGTGCACGCGCTGACGCGGGAACACTTCTTCCTCGACACGACATCCATCGAAGGCGAGGAGAAGGGTCGCATCGGCATGGGCATGTGTGGCTCGGTCGTGATGCGCAACGGGCGCTGTGTTGGCATGCTGACGGCGACTGTGCATGAAGAGAGCAGATGCAGAGAGCTCGCCGGCACCGCGATGTGCACGTACGCAAGCGACATATTTGACTTCCTGCTGGAGGTGGAGCGACAGATGAAGGAGCCGCCTCCGAAGCTGCAGCGCGAAGAGACCGTCTTCCAGCAGCGGCGCCACGACGAGGGCTGCGAGCAGCAGCAACAGAAGGACTGGGAGCTCGACCAGAGCCGACTGGCGCGTCACATCCCGGTGCCGGTGTCGCTGTGGCATATGGAGGAGAAATGGATGACGGAGGAGGACTACATGACGAGCACCGTCTTCGGCCGTAGCGGCATCTTCAACCAGGAGACGCAGGAGAACACGCTCGGCTACGACATGAACTCTGCAAAGTCGTACGGCGAGCGTCCCGGTGACATTGCAGCCTTCTCGACGGCCTCACAGGACGGCAAGCCTGGTATGCAAGGCGAGCGGAAGGACTACAGCCCCACCAGCATATACGCCGACCACGAGGATTTCAAGACGCGGGACGTTTGGGACTACAACGTCAGCGCAGAGATGCGCTCGCTCTTCGATAACTCTGTCGACGCAAAGGACGCGCACAGCCTCAACATGATGCGGAAGTCGCTGGAGAACATCCGCGCGCAGCGGGCGATGGAGAAGATGAAGGAGACAGTGCTGAAGAACCCTGGCCGCTCCACCGACCCTCTCAATGTTGGCAACATGGGTCGCTACGACGCCAACAGCAGCGATGGCGGTGACGCATTCGATCCTGCAGGGGCCGACGAAACACCGGCGGCAAAGCGGCAGCGTGAGGAAGAGGAGTACCACGAGGCGCTGCGCCGCCGCCACGGACAGAAGGCGCGGCCTTTCGGCGATGAGGACCTCCGCGGGCTGTGGGAGCCGCATTAGCGAGGACTATTGATGATGAGGTGGTGGTGGTGGTGATGGTGGTGGTACCCTCCGCGTCCTCTGACCCTACTGCATTCCTCTTCAGTGTTTGCTGCTGTTGTTGAATGTATATATATATATATATATGTGTGTGTGTGTGCATTGCTTTCCATTTCTTTCCTTCCTTTCTGGCCCTTACTTTCTGCGTGATGTGCATATACGTATGTGTTTGTGTATGTGTGCTTGTGTACACCGCTCTTGTAGGGAAGACTCTGCGGGGTAGCCAGTGGAGATGATGAACCCGAGCGCCCGGCCGTGGTACCCGCCGGGCGACGTGGCGCTCGGCGTACAAACCCCAACCGTGCGCCGGCAAAATGATCCGTACAACTTCAGCGCCCTGCAGCGGCCACCGACACCGCTCTGCGGGGACTCCGACCTCAGCACCATCCAGTTGGAGTCTCTCACAGCTGCGCTGAGGCCGACACCTGTGCCCTCCCACAGGAAGGGCCCGTATCGCAGCACAGCGCTGGTAGAGCAGACGGCAGCCCTTGCCGACTCCACGCCGCCACAGCTCAGCCCAGGGACCACCACGTCGTCTTCGGACTCGCGGGGTGACTGGCAGGAGATCGGCGTCGCAAACGCAGAGGAGACATACTGCAGTGCGGCAGCGCGCGCAGTGAGGCCCAAAGTTTCTATTCCTCTTCCTCGATCTCAGCGTCTCACCGATATTTCCCCGGCTGCCCCATTCGCTCCCAAGGGTTTTGCTGCTGCTGTTATTGCGGCCAACACCTCTGTTGCCACGTGTGGTGATGGTAACGCGGCCAGAGCCAGTGTTCCTATGAATACCGGTTCTACCGGTCATGACAGCGCTGCCGAGGCTGGGACCTTTGTGGATGTTAAGGGTGATGATGGTAGGTTTACTGGAACTGTTTCTTCTTCTGCTGCTGGTGGTAGTGGCGGCGGTAATGATGATGATGATGAAAGTGATGATGACGATGAAGACGGTGATGGTGATGGTACTAACGATGACGATAAAATGGAAGAATATTTGCGAAGTGGCAGCAATGAGGCAAGCCGCGAAAAAAAATGGAGGGGCTGCACAGGACTGCCACTAGCCACCTCGGCATCGGGACACGCGGCTGCCGCCAAGAAGCCTAAGTCAAAAGCCAAGCGTGAGGACAAATGGACAATTGTGCAGGGGAAGACAAGCGCAGATTTGGCAGGGATGTCAGCGGTGCCGCTGAAGAAAATGACGGCCGTCGCGGCCGTCGTGAAAGTGCGGGAGAACGGGGCCGTTGTGCGCCTCCCAGACTTGCAGGCGGCAGATCGGACCAGGAGTAAACAGAGACCTGCACAGCAGCAGCGACAAAAAGAGGACGATAGTAGTGGGAAGGATGAAGCAATTATTGAGGTGAAGACACGGCGCCAAAGGGACGCGCGGCGCACAAGAGGTGCCAGCAGCGACGATGAACTGCTCGAAAGCCTTGCGAATGGCATGACATCTTCCACTGATGCGTCTCCTTCCTTTACTGATGCCGCTGGTGGTGCTGGTACAGCTGCTGCTGTTGGCAGCAGCAGCAGCAGTGGCGGTGGCTGCGGTGAGGTCCCCACGCCGTTTGCCATTATGGGTGTGCCGCTTGCCAGCGTTGCGCAGGGCGAGCAGCTGCTGCCTCCGTCACCGGTGGCCACAGGCCAGAAGAACGCTTACCGTATTCTTATTCGCTCGCTCGCTATGTCGGAGACGTCGAGCGCCAAAAAGCTCCTGCTACAGCGCGCGTTGCGGGGGATTCCGGAATCCAGTTATCATCAATGTCCTGAGCTGGTGTGTGCGATCCTCCTGGAGACGAGCGACAGCTGCGTCGATGTGGAGAGAAGCCTGCAGACGTGTTACAGGGCCCTGCAGCTCGCGGAGAAGCACAAGCTTGACACATTCGAGATGTTGGCGCGCCTTGCCATCACACGTACTTTTGCCCGCGTCATTGACACCATGGATGCGCGCGTTAACTTGACGCGGGCGGCGGCAATTGCCATCGCGACGCACGAGAAAGCGGCGCTGGGGTGGATTGCGATGCAGATGGGCGTGACGCTCGAGATCTCCGGCCTTTTTCCAGAGTCCCTCGCGTGGTACGAGGCAGCGGAGCGCCTTGCCAGCGCCACCGGGCAGCATCAGCTGCTGTGCGATATCTGCTGCTGTGAGAGCATCGCCTACTCCGCTGTGGGCGAGGTGGAGCGGGCGCAACGGGCATACGAGGCGTCGCGCGCGCTGCTGCCGCACATCCCGCGCCACCGCCATCAGCGGCCACTGCAGAACTATGCGCAACTGAAGTGCCAGCTGGGTGACATGGCCGCCGCACTGCGCTTGCAGGAGACGGAACTTGAGATCGCAAAAGAGGTGGGTGACACACATGCCACCGCGCGCTGCATGGGCGCCATTGCGCTGACGAAGCGTTTTCTGTGCCGCTACGACGAGGCGGCGGAGAACCACATGGAGGAACTCTGCGTCCACACGGCGCACGACCCGCGGCAGGCGGTGGAGTCCCTCACCGGTGCCGCCGCCTGCTGGCGGATGGGCGGTCACCTGCAGAAGGCGTATGACTATTGCATGAGGGCGCTGCGGCAGGCACAGCAGTGCCAGGATCTCACGACACTAGCCAAGGCGCTGGTGGAGCTTGCGGAGGCGGAGTTGAGCTTAAACCAACTTGACAAGGCACAGCAGCACCTGCGGGAGGCACTCGCCACTGTTGCGCGTGTGGACGAGGCGGAGCAAAAACAGTACTTGGTGAAGGCCGCTCTTTGCGAGGTGGAGTGGCGATGCTGCAGCATCTTGGAGCAGGTGCACTTCCGCCGGGGTGAAGTCTTCGAGGCACTTCAGTGCACTGACCGCTGCCACGTGCCCAACACAGCTCATGTGGCCCGCCTGCTGCTGCGTCGTCAGCGTCGCGCCGGCGTGGTGCTTGGTTCGAAGGATGCGGAGCTTGTCAGCAAGAATGCGATTGAGCGATTTCTGCGGCGCCCCACAATGCGTGGGTGGCGGATCGTCTGCTACTCGCTCCCGTGGAATGAGGGGCTGGACTTCATGGCGTATGTCCTCCACTTCGACGAAGACAACGGTAGCCTGGCGTGCGTAGGTCGCCAACTGCGCATGCAGGACGAGCTGGTCGCATTCATGTGCACCCCAAATGCCCTCACAAAGTTGTTCGACGCGCCGATGTACACAGAGACAGGTGAGCGTATCTACGGCGACACACCGCTGTGGCCGCAGATGTACTCAAAGGTCGCCTTTGACTTCCAGCAGAGTGCTGACAACGCGAAGCGGGTAGAGTCCCTGCGCACCGATACCATGTACTGCCTGCGGCTGCTGCACGACAACTTCATTGCTCCGCTGGAGGCGGACCTCTGCGGTGCGGCTGGGCTGATGTTCGTCGGTGATGGCGTCTTCAGCCGACTGCCGTTCCACGCACTGCACGACGGGACGCGGCACCTTGCCGAGCGCTTCGGTACGAGCATCTGCTGCTCCATGGCGCTCCTCTGCACCCACATAGCGGAAGAGGAAAGAGAAGAGCAGGAGCGACACGACGCGCCGGAGCGGCGCTGCACTGTTGTGGACGACGCTTCGGGCTCAACGGTACTGTTAGACGCGTGCCTCGCCGCTGCGGCCGCCGAGGAGGACGCTTGCGTGCGGCGCGTCGTGGTGGACGCCAACGCTGCGGGGTCCGATGCGACGCGTGCGGATGACGAGGAGGCGGATGCTGCCGCTGCAGCGGCAGAAGCCACGGCGGCAGCGGCTTGGGACGGGG